CATGAGAAGTGTTCCACAAAACAGCTATGGTTTGAGTTGATGTGACAAATACGTCTTTTGAATATACTGTGTGAACTCATTGCCCTGTTAGCTCGGAGAGCTTTATTTTCCCTCCTCAATAAGTTTTGTCAGTTGTTTTGTTTATTGGTCTAATTCTTGTTTCTTGGGTTGCATTTGTTTGTCACTCAATTAATTCTCTTGTGCTTCGTTCCCCCCTTCTGAATTATGTTGTATTGATAAGGAGTTATCACAAAGTAAGTCTGTTTAGTTGTGCTATCTTACAATCAATATATAGTAAATGTAAGTTAGTGTCGCCAATGTAACCGGTTAAAACTTGGAGTGGCGATGAGGTCTTAAAATGTATGGAAAGAGTCTTAAAAAAGGTCTTAAAAGGTATTAAATTTAACTCCATGATTCTTGTATATACCCTGAGGACTCAGGACAGTTCGAACAGTTCTGACATTGCATGAATCCGAGGTAAAAAAACGATATAAATACTGTTCAGTTTCTTGCACAGACCGATCATTTTGTGTCTTTACACATCAATGTATCGTCACAAGCCGCAGGGTTTAATTTGGTTTTGTTTGTGTATGTTTTTTTGACTCTCAAAGCTGTTATTCCCATCCACTTACATTATATGACTGAAAGACTGCAACTAAAAATCTTTGTTTGTGTTCTACTGAAGAAACAAAGTCAACGACTTCTTGGATGCCCTGGGAGTAAGCAGATAAACATCACATTTTCATTTTTGGGTGAACTATCCCTTTAAGAGTGATTACCCAACTAGTCATTCAGGCAACTGACTTGTTTGCACAGCTATAATTTTGTGTTTATGTGATATGTGCTATGTCATTGGTCAATCCAGTGTTAACATTCTTGCGTGATAAGAATTTCTCTTGCTCTGTGTAGCTTGTGCCATCCTGGGCCCTGCCCACAGTGTCCAGCTTTTATCACGAAGTCCTGCATTTGTGGGAGAATGAGGTACAATTACCTTTTTGTAATTGACTCTATATGTAATCATTTACCCAGATATATGCAGGCCAAACAACACCGGTTTCTTGTGTGTGCAGAAAGCAGGTTCGTTGCAGTCAGACAGGACCTCTGCTTTGTGAGGACGTCTGTGGAGCTCTTCTGAACTGCTCAGAGCACTTCTGTGCCCAGGTGTGCCACTCAGGGCCATGCCAACCCTGCCGACTTCGTGTTCAGCAAGGTAAGTAGTCCTTGTGTCATTTAATTGGTTTCAGAGTCTATGCAGTAATCTAATTTTATGCATTATAATTCTCCTGCCATGTCTTTGTACCCTTTCAGCCTGCTTCTGTGGTGTGGCATTCAGGGAGGTGGCGTGTGGGACTGATCGTGAAAAGTTTGATGGATCAGGATATTTCTCCTGTTGCAAGCCCTGTGGAAAGTATGTACTAACAAAACATTTCTTCGCTTGTCAATGTATGACATGAATCATTTTACAAGTTCTGTATGCAGACCTTTTTGTTAATATCACTCTTCTCTGGTCTTAAATAATAAGACTTGTGTTTTAGACCTTTTTATTAATGTTTTCTTTTTTTTCCTGTTTGACCTTTTTGGTTTGATTTTGGTTAATACAGACATTTGTATGTGTATTTTGCATGCTTTTTTAGTAAATGTGTGTGAGCGCTCATCTCTCAATCTGTTGCTCTAGGATGCTAGACTGCCAGTCCCATTGCTGTCAGCAGTTATGCCACCCTGGGCAGTGCCAGTCATGTCCACTCAGCCCCAAGCTGGTGCACAGTTGTTCATGTGGACAGACTCCATTATCTAAGCTTCTGGAGCTCGGCTACCCAGAGAGAAAGACCTGTACTGACCCAATCTCCTCCTGTGGCAAGACCTGCAGCAAGCCGCTGCCATGTGGAGATGGTGGTATGTGTCTGATTTGGGATGATTTTTATTTATAAATTGAACAGGGATTAAAGTTTGTTGTTAATTTTTCTTCTGATCTCAGTTAAAAGGATGCGAAAGACCCTAAATTCACCATGAAATCAAATTTTTTTATGGAATATTGCAGTGTTTGATTATTAATTATTTATCTGAGCATGTCATTAGTTTTTTAAATTCTCGTTCCCTTGTAATCATTTATCAAAAACAACTTCCCCTCCCCCCAGCAACAACATCCTTTCACTCAGAAATACACCACAATAGGAAAGAAAAGATTATCACAACTTAATTTCATGCTTACTGTAAGTATACAGAAACAATAAGAAAACCACTGGTCAGAGCCCTTCCTCCCTATACGCAAAATACGCAAGCTGCGTAGGGCCCCCGAAACACCCTTGCTCTCAAAGATGATTTAATTTTAGTTTCGTTTTTGAATTTGGCCAGCGGTTATGAAAACATGAATGATCATTTCTTTTAATGCGGTGCGCTGTCGCCCTTTTTACGTAAAAATCAGTCAAATCATGTAATGTGAATGTCGTACAGTCTTGCTCGAGACTAAAAAAACGAGTTGAAAGCGTACCGAGCCGCGGAAGAGACACTGTTTCTCAAGCGCTTTCCGCGAGCGCGATTCGAGACGGAGTGAAACACGGACAAATGCGTTTCATTCATTCGTTCATAACCACTCATTTTGCCACTGTATAATGCATTTGTAGTGTTCATAAGCAGGGCTGCTTTGTTTACAGCGGTAACCGAGGAAACACTATATCATTGCTGTTCCAAAAGCGCCGCCTGCTGGCAGAGAGTGAATTTGAATCTCATTCAGCTCGTCTGCTGTTTTTGTTTTTAGTATAATTTCTCAACACTAAAGCCAGACCATACTGTTTCTTCAAATTTCGGAATTTTACAATCTAATTTAGATTAAAAACTGCTCATGTTGCATGTATGCAGCATCTTTGTTTGGATCGTGATTAAAATGTAGTGGTTGCCTCTAATTTTAAATGGAAAGAGCACAGACAAAGCCTTAGTTTGTTTATATGAACAGATTTCTTTTGTGTTATTTATTTGATTTGGGGTTTGTTTTAAAATTTCAGTTTAGTTTTGTTATTTGACGTTTCAGTTACACAAAGAAATGTTCAGCATTTTGTCCAAGCAATAATAAAAGAAGACCTGTTCATTTATAATTTCTTAAATCTCATTTTGTTAAAAAAAAAAAACTGTGAGAAGATCATTCCGTGAAATGAGTATCATGAATTGTATCGCATCGTGAGTTGAGTGAATTGTTACATCCCTACAACAATGTTCAAAATTCTTATATTTCTCTTTTACTTGTGTCCGATCTGCTGTAGATTCTGTCCACTTGTGTGAAAAGCTCTGCCATGAGGACAGCTGTGGCCCGTGCTCTTTGACCTCCTCTATTAAGTGCAGATGTGGCAGTAACCGCAAGGTTAGACGGTTATCGCACAGCTGCACAAAGGTTAGGACGTTCTGAAAACTGCAGATTTAATTCATACTCTCTCTTCTGTTTTCATAGGAAGTTCCTTGTGCAGCCATTCAGACTGAACGTAAGGCTTTAGTTAATTGTGTAACAAATTAATTGTATGTACTATACCAAAGTAGCAGTTGTAATGCTAATGTGTAATCCTTTACAGAAGACATGGTGTTTACCTGTGAGAAACGCTGCAACAAGAAGCGCTCCTGCGGCAGGCACAAGTGTGGAGAGTTGTGTTGTGTGGTGAGTCTTTTATATTTTCATGAAAGGTTTATCTGGGTGTAATAGCCACAAGAAAGGTTTATGTAAACATTCTCTCTCTTTATCAGGATGTGGAGCATAAGTGCTCAATGATTTGTGGTTACAAACTCAATTGCGGTCTACATCGATGTCAGGACCTTTGTCACCGTGGCAACTGCCAGCCTTGTTGGCAAACTAGTAAGCCTGGCCTTCAAGATCACCTTAATGGATGTCCATCTCTTTTCTTCTTACACAGCACTGTGTGTTTTCTCTAAGGTTTTGATGAGTTGGCGTGCTACTGTGGGGAGACTGTGCTCTTCCCGCCCATCCCTTGTGGAACGAGACCTCCTGAATGTAAAAACTTATGTACCCGAAGTCATGATTGTGATCATCCAGGTACTTCTGCTCAGTCTGCTGACTCTGCTCTGTCAACCACAGATATACTCATTAACGGATATATGTCAAGATTTATACACACATATACTGTATGATTCATTGTGAAGTGTACCCGTCTGTATGTAACTGCGCTTGACAATTTGTAATCTTGAGGTCGATATTTTGTACTTTTAAAAATTAAAACAAAATAATTATATATTTATTTTTTAAAAGTCTCTTATGCATACCAAGGCTGCATTTATTTATTCAGTACAGTAAATACAGTAATATTGTGAAATATTTTGACAATATGAAATAACCATTGTTTATTTAAACACATTTTAAAATGTAATATATTTTTTTGATGGTAAAGCTGAATTTACCCATCTTCAGTGTCACATGATCCGTCAGAAAATATTCTTATATGCTGATTTGATGTTCAAGCCACATTTCCTATTACTATGAATGCTGAAAACAGTTGCGTTGCTTAATATTTGGAAACATGTGGAAACCATGTTTTATATTTTCATGAATAGAAAATTCAAAAGAATAGCTTTTTTTTTAAATAGGAATCTTTTGTAACAATTTAAAAGTCTTTACTTGTCACTTAATGCACCCTTGCTGAATAATGTTTGCTGATTGTTGTGTTTATGATTTTTCCATAGTGTTCCATTCATGCCATTGTGAGGAGAGATGTCCTCCCTGTACCTACCTCACCAAGAAGTGGTGCATGGGTAATCATGAGGTAAAAAGACATTTTTAAAACAAGACAGTCTTCATGTTTTTTTTTAATTAAATTTTAAGCATAGACAATCCTATTTTGCACTCTATTCAAGAAAAGTTCCAAATCTCATCTTCAACACCATTTTCACATTTCTCCCTAGCAAAGGAGTAATATCCCATGCCACCTGCAGGACATCTCATGTGGTTTAGTGTGTGACAAGCTCTTACCCTGTGGTTCTCATCACTGTAAGAAAATATGTCACCGTGGGGAATGCCAGGCAGAGGGAGAGTGTAAGCAGCCTTGCACTCACCCTAGAGCCAGCTGTGGACACCCCTGTGCTGCTCCCTGCCACCCAGGCACCCCCTGTCCACCCACCATCTGCAGTGCCAAGGTACAGCCCTTCCCTCATCCAGAATCTACACAGATGGTTTATAGATGGAACATGCAGTTATTGCTCAAAGCGATCCTTTGTTTCCTCAGCTGTAGCCTGATTTGATTCCATCAATTCCTCAGCTGCAGGGTGCTTGTGGTCTGGCACATGCTTTTACAGACAAATGTACATTATCGGTTATGTAAAACATTGGCTTGAAAGAGTAAATTATGGTTTTCATAAACATCTGTTATAGTTGTTTATTATAGCTTGTCACAGATGATCTTCAGATGATTTGTTGTTTTCAAATGTACTGTAGAAGATGGATCAAAAGAGCAGAATATCTGATTATCTAAGCACAAAAATTCCTATTTTTGTTGCTTTTTTTTTTTTTGCAGACACTTTCATGTTATGCATGCTGAAAAAAAAAAATCAGTGTTCAAAATGGAGAGCTTTACTTTATTCTCTTAGTTATTTCCCACATTCAATCTCTAGGTGGCACTGCAGTGTGACTGTGGCCGAAAGAAAGAGACCGTTCCTTGTGCTGATGCAGCCAGTTCCTACCAAAGGTTAAAAAACATGCCACACTATCAGAGCCTTCATAGACATTCAAAGCAAAGTTTTATATTGATAAATTGGCTGACACAAGCCTTTTCGTTTTCCCCACTGATGATTGTCTACTCATAGCAAGCCAATACATTTAAAATGAATGATATACATATGCAAATAAGACCAAAAATGCTATAAATGTCATATGTTCTAACTGATCAGTGGTCAAATCTCTATATTTTGCAGATATGCAGCTATTGCTGTTGCCAGTAAGCTGTCAGATATGCAGCTGGGAGAGTCTGTTGACATTGGACAGCTCACAAAGAAAGAGCAGAGAAAGGCCAGGTATACTCGCACACTAAAGCTTGCAAGACTGCTTGTTTTTATTAGTCATCCAGAAGAGTAGTCTGTGGGTCAGTGTTTACCTTACGTAAATGACAGCATTAGTGGTTTTTGCTGTTTCTGACAAGTTCAAAGCTGCATTGAAGGAGAGCAGGGTACAGAATTAACACTCACTAACCACAACATCCAAGTAAAAATTTATTTTGTGATGAAATTGCCAGTGGCTGGTAAGTAACTTCATTATAATACATGGTTTAAATTAAAAGAAGAAAACATCCATCTAATAACTTTTACCTAAGAAGGTAAACATTGTTAGTAATGTGCTTTTGTTGAAGTGGAGTAACCTTTGTATTTGGTTGTTCTCTCACAGGTTGGAGTGTGATCAAGAATGTGCTACACTGGAGAGGAACAGGTGAACGTAAAGATTTTATTCACACATTCTTTCCCTCTATCTGTGCCTGTATATGTTACTAGATATGTCTGTGTGTGGGTGTGCAGGTTTTGATGTTTTCTGTTTTGCCTCTAGGCGGCTGGCTGAGGCCCTGCAGATTGATCAGTCAGTGGATACCTTCAACCAGTCAGCATCTTCCAAATATAGTGACTCTCTGAAAGAAGATGCAAGGTGGTTCAAATTCTAAAATAGTTCAAGAATGTATCAACAGTACATTAAGCTAGGACATGGTTGTATGAGACATTACCAAGCTCAAATTCTTTGGAAGAGCTCACGATGAAGGCACCAACCATTAAGCAACCTATTAAGAGTAGTGAATCAAACTGCAAGACTGTTTTCAAGAATGCAACAGAAGCATTCTTGAAAACAGTCTTGCAGTTTGATTCACTACTCTTAATAGGTTCAGTTGCTTGCCAAATGTATAAACCGTACAGGACTGTATTTTCAAAAGCATCCAAACTCCAAACACAAAAATGGGGATTGTAGCCTACTTATAAAAGCAACAAATGCTTATCATTTATTTTGTAGTCTCATGACTGAACATCACTAGTAACTGTGCACTAAAGAATTGCCAGTCGAGTTTGGGTTCTTGCACATTTGCTTTGACAGTTTAAAGAAAAACTGAAGTGTAGAATATACACATGTACGTTAAATGTTTAGTCTACTACAGAGCCAAGTGAAAGCCTAAATGCTCAAACTAATGAAACTTTTTTGTTTTTTTTAATTCAGGAAAGATTTCAAGTTTGTCAGTGAAATTGAAGAGGAGATTAAGAATTTAGTTGAACTGGCTAACAAGGTAAAATGTAGTCCAATGATCACACTATATATAAATAGTTGACAATATTTACCATCCAAGCACTTCTAGCATCATTTTTCAGAGCTCTGTTATTGTGTTATTCCTCAGGGTAAACAGCCTAAGAGGAGTCACTGTTTTCCACCTATGAAGCGTGAACACCGGAGAATTATCCATGAGCTAGCGGAGGCATATGGTGTGGAAAGCGTCAGCTATGATAGCGAACCCAAGCGCAATGCTGTGGTTACTGCCATCAGGTCAGCAGAAACGGTCAAATTTTAGATTGGGCTTTCAACTGTAATAGTGAATAAGCAAACACAAGTAAACTTTAAAGGTGTCTCAGTTAAGTGTATGTCAGTGTGTCAGTAGAGTTGGGTAGTCTTCAACATGATTGTTTTATATGTGTTTTCAGGGGGAAATCGGTGTGTCCTAACACTAGTCTGGCTGCTTTGATTGAAAGGGAAACTGTTTCTAGAGCACCTCCTCCTATTGCCCACATCAAACAACACACAAGCAAGTATGTTCACACATCTCACCACTAGACTACCATTCAAACGTTGGGCATTAAGATGTTTAAATGTTTTTGAAAGAAGTGTTTTATTTATTCCTGTGCTGGCAAAGCTGAATTTTTTTTAACAGCCATCACTCTATTTCTTCAGTCTCCGATTCTTTAGAAATCATTTTAATCAGGATTTTCTTTCTCAAAATAATGTATTTGAAATAGAAATCTACTACAGATGTCTTTACTGTCCTTTACTGTCCATCCTTGTTCAATTGAAGTATTAATTAATTTTTTTTTTTAAATGGAATGCTAATGTAATATGATCACTCTGTCATAAATGATCAGTATGGTTATTCATATGAGCTAATGTATGGATACTGTAATGAAGTGGAGTGTTTAAAACCACGCTCTTGTCATTCACAGTAAACAGAATTGCTGTGGCATGTACATGTGTTTGTTAATATTTTGTGTATTCGTGAAATATGAAGGGTTTTGTTGAGTGTAAAGTGTATCATAACTAATACATTTTTTATTCACATTTATTTCAGGGCCGACAATAGTAATGCTTGGATGAAACAATCTAAAGAGGAGCCCACAATTGATTATTTTGATGTGCAGGATTGACATGAAATTCTGAGTAGTCACTGTAATAATCACACAAAATAAAACTATCCAAAGACTTCTTTTCACTATAGCATCACAATTCTGAACACAAACACAGTGAGAATCTAAAGCTATGATTTGTGGACATGTTTGTTAGGTTTACTAAGGAGCAAACATCTAGGAGTAAAAATGTATGTGGTTTCTGTGCACATATTAACTTGGGGGTGGGGGGAAGAAAAGAAATGTGGGATGCATTTGTATTCTGAGACTAGACTTTGACATTATCAGTGACCTTGACAGTGATTTCTTCTGATAGACAGCTTACACAAGTGTCAGGAGTGAGTCAGAGTGAAGTTGGACATGATCGGCATCAGGAAGGTTGTTGGTAGTAATCTCATTTTACCATACCTTGTTAAAGAAGATGAAAATAACTGTGCATCTCAGCTCCAATAAATACTTCTGAAAGCACAACTTTCTGCAGTTCATGTGACTTGAGTGCAATATTGAATAGATTGCGGTTCTCCACTTTCTGCTTCAGGATTATGTAGCCTACTTCTGCTTTCTTCTGATCCCAACAGGAAAGATATTGTGATACTCCCGTCATAATTTGTTTCGTCTATGAGAAGAGTGACCTTGACGTCAATGCTCATTTATATTAAGAAACACCTGAAGGTTTATGAACCGTTTCTTCTGAGGTTTGTAATGACATGAGTTAAGTGCTGGAATACTATCATTGTTCAGTGAATGTGTGATGGGACAAATCTAGAAACTGAAGGGTCTCTGTTTCTGGACCCTTGGATTGCATAGAGCCTGACGGGACATGGGAAAAACGCAAGGGAAATACAAATCTGCATCCTTAAAAATCAGTGAGGCTAATTCAAAGGATTGTTCACTGTATGAATTTAATATAAATAACGATCAATTTAACTTTAACGATAAATGACAGAACTTTAATCTTTGAATTAACTATCTCTTTATAATCCCTTTTTAATAGCTGTTGTCAGCCGGCATCGCACGTTTATGGACGTCGGTTATTATGAGAGAAAACCTTGACTTCTTGTGTGACAACTGCTTTTTGGAAACTCGTTTAATCTTTACTGCCATCTGTTCTTTACTCGTAACTTCATGTGTGCAGATATTTGGCGGACTTTTCATGCACATGTTGCGTACTATTTCAGGCCTGTTCGACAAAGTTCTCACTGTATTTTGCCGGTAAGTCTGAGTGAGTGAGTGACTGACTGTGGGGAGCGGCGCGTAATTTGACGACGCTCCCTCTACATCCCGAGTTTTATTCGAAGCGGCGGGGTAAACGCGCTTGCGCCTCAGCGCTCACCGTCTCTGGCTGCATCCCCTCCTCACTCCGCTGCTTCTCCACACACTGACTGTCCAGTCACTCCAGCACCGAGCAACAGGGAGTGTGTGTGTGCTTGTGCTTCCAGCTATAAAGAACTTCATCTCCATCGCTCCGGACACACATCCGCTTCTTCATCTGCCCTCCGCTGCCCTTAACAGCCGGCCACAGTAACCATCTGCCATGGAGAGGAAGGTAGGACATTTACAGCAACATCATAAGAATGTCATCTGCTCCACAGAGCACTTATTAATCAACAGTGTTGAGTGTCTGCGGTCTGTTACCGTCCTGATGGTGTATAATCCGCCCATCTCATCACAGACAGTCAGATTAGTGCGCATGGGAGTTTTCCGACTGGATCTAGTTTATTTGGCAATGTAAAGAGCAGATAGAGACTGTATATGAAGCCAGACAGAACACACGAACTAGTCCTGAATACATACACTGGTGCACGTGTTAATCCTGTCTTCTTCATCACTGGGTTCTTCATGATCATAATGCTGACTGGAGTGAGAGGTTCAAAGCAGCACTTAAGGCTGTAGTGGAGATGTTATGAGACATCAGATGCCTCCCTGTACTCTGCTAAGAGCCTAAGTACCTCTCAGCTTCAGTTGTTGGGTTTGCAAGTGTTAAATAGAAATATAAAGATGCCTTTCCTCAAAATTCACTCCATGTGAGCGCAGTTTGTTTGTCTTTGAGTGAAGGTATGTGATTTTAACACTGGTATGTTTATGTAACTGGTTTAATGCTGGAATAACTAGGCTAAAGCAGTGCTTATAAAGAGGCTGTCAGCATCGTTTTGCTCTTCACCAAGCACATTTTTGTAATTTTTTCTTGGTAAAGGTTCCTCCGTAGTGATGGGGAACCTGGAAATATCAGAAATTTTAAAACTTATTTTCAAGCCTGAAGTCATGGAAATATCTTTATAGATAATGTTAATGCAGTCTCGGTTTTTTTTTTTTTTTTTTTTTTTTTCTTTT